GCCCTTTCCTGGATCTGCTTTGGTATGGCGGGTGCCGGTGGGGCCCATGAGTTTGTCGCTGCTGGCCCCGGGGGCTGTGCGTGTGGTCGCTGGGGGGACTCTCCCAGTTCTCCCCTATGGTCTGATCTGGGGGGTGGGTGGGCGGATCTTCCCATGCAGGTGCCCCTTGGGGCTCTGCGCTCGGGATTGCTCTCGGGCCCTTGGGCTCTAGTTTTCCCTATGTCTGCCTCGTGTCTTGGGGGTTGGGTCTCCGATCCTCCACAGTCACTATTAAATATTCCATTGGAGAAATCTTGTATGTACACRCATGTTCACAACTGCTCACAAACAGGTGCTCTGATCCGGGGGTTCTGACTGGTCACTGAGTGTGTATATGTCTATGTGTATATACTGACAATATTTCTGAATGTAGGCATGTATGTATGTATATCTTTATATATGTATGGGTATGTGTATTTTTTATATATGCCCTCCATGTATTTATCCATTTATTTTTCAGGTGAGTGGACAGATGTTGGGTGTGTGGTCCTGTGCTTTGTTGGTGTATATTTAATAAACTTCTAATCGCTATTTCAATCTTTCTATCTTTCTAATTACTTCTCTCTCTGTTTTTCTCAAAAAAGCTTGTTTTAGTTGCATGTTAAAGTCACAATGTGATGAGGGTGTGATGTTAGCATTTTCCTGACTTACTGTTATTGTGATTTTTTTTTCAGTCCATGCAGGTGAGTTCTGTAGCAGAGTTTGAACAATACTAGAGGTAAAAATTCAAGTGACATCACCAGTGGTGGGCAACATTAATCTAAATATTAGTTGCACTAACTCAAACATTTAGGTCCCCTATATCTAAAACACTATCACACTGAAAATTTTAGCGAAAGCTAATTCTAAAGCACTAATATAATCCAGTTGTTGTGTGAAACAGTTTTCAGAGTCAACATGAGACAATATTTACTGTGTACAATATATTGTCACTTACTACCCTTGGTAGGCCAAATGGGACTCGCCCGCGGGCCTTGAGTTTGACACGTGACCTTGTAGATAAGTAACACGCATATGAACAAAATGTATGACAGCTTTCACCCTCAACTGTGAACAATAATGTTGATCAATAACATTTTGAGACCTCAGTTAGTGCTTCTAAATTTAGCCCATAAATTTAGCAAATGCTAATCCACTAATGCATTTTAAAAATAGCAAAAGCCCTAAAGCACTAATCAAGAAATTAGTTCCTTTGTCCGCCTGCCTAGCAGGGGAAAAAATGTCCAATAACCATTTTTTTTAAATCCACAATCTTTGTAAGGTTATTGGAATTGTGAAATTTTAGTTTTGAAAAAAAACAATTTTTTATTTTTTGAGATATCACATGTCCACTACAGTGGATATCAGAACACTGTACATGTGAAGCTGGTTCTTCATGGCAATCAATTAATCCCAAAGAGAATACCAAAAAGTCAAAAAAAGAATGAGTTTACCATCTGTATAACCATCAATCACAACTTTTATTTTCTTTTTTACTTTGTTGTGCTTATTTGGTAAGATACTTTGAAAAGTAATTCCCTTTATTTGAACTTTAATACCTAACACTGTGCACATCACGTGTTTTACTTAGATGTGCAAAACCTTGATGCATTTTATCCACAATCCTGGAAGATGGATTGCWTCACAGTGTCCCAGAGATGCAATTGGCTGTGGTGTCTACCCAACTGATGCAGAATAAACAAATATCTTCAAKTCAGCTGAGGTTTGCCCGGTACATACGGGCACACCAGGTATTGACTGGTAAATAGAATAGTTGATTATTAATGCATAATTTTCTTGTTCTAGACAGACTCAGACATATCAACACCAATTATATATCAGTGTCTGAGTTTTCATCAACAATTTGAAGTTAAATGTTCTTTGCTTCTGAGAATGATTCCCTTTCTTGTCCTTAAAAACAGGATAAAATGAAGGAAATAGCTACAAATGTCCACTACGGAGGACATTTTTTAAATGATTAAATACTATGCAAAAATAAAGTTAAAATAAGTCAGACAGTGTTGTAATGTGTTGATTAGAGACGTATAAAATATGCAAACAACATTTCAAGTCAAAAATTTTTCAGTAAAAAGTGTTGTGTATTTATCTTTCCTTTTCCCATGAAACAAGCTTTCAATGAGGGACACCATTTTCCCTAATAAGGAAGAGAAAGATACCAAAACCCCACCCCTACAAATTTGATATCATTGAAAAACCCTAAATT